AGGCAAATGCGTTTTGAGAATCAAAAAAAAAAAAAATATGAAAAATTTGAATTAAAAACAAACATTAAAGACTGCAGTCTATAATATCAGTATTCAAACCTCATAGCTTTATTTAAAATAATTGAATAATGGTAAAATGAATATGTACGAGGAACCAGCTAGTTTTCATAATTTAAAAATGGTATTTAAGTCTTGGAGAGTTCAATTTTAAAAATAAAAATGGGAAGGGGGACATGGGCGCCCGCAGGCAAATGCGTTTTAAGAATTAGAAAAAAAAATTATGAAAAAATTTGAATTAAGAACAAACATTAAAGACTGCAGTCTATAATATCAGTATACCTAAACTCATAGCTTTATTTACAATAATTATATCATGAGAAAATTAATATTTTAAGGAACCAGCTAGTTATCATAATTTAAAAATGGTATTCAAGTCATCCAGAATTCATTTTTAAAAATAAAAATGGGAAGGGGGACATGGGCGCCCGTAGGCAAATGCGTTTTGAGAATCAAAAAAAAAAATATATGAAAAATTTGAATTAAAAACAAACATTAAAGACTGCAGTCTATAATATCAGTATTCCTAACCTCATAGCTTTATCTAAAATAATTGAATAATGGTAAAATGAATATGTATGAGGAACCAGCTAGTTTTCATAATTTAAAAATGGTATTTAAGTCTTGGAGAGTTCAATTTTAAAAATAAAAATGGGAAGGGGACATAGGCACCCGCAGGCAAATGCGTTTTAAGAATTAGAAAAAAAAATTTTAATCATAAAGTGAAAAAAATATGATCAGAGTTTTATCGCCTTTACCTCAGTACAATAAAATAATGTGTTAATTGAATGAAAGTTTTTATGGATACAAAATATTAAATTGAACGTTTTTTAAGTTCTCTTTTAAGTTAAAGCTTTTTTTTACTTAAATAATTTTATGTTGAATTAAAATTATATTGTGTTTCAAACTGTAACTAGCATACATTTTGTAAAAGTATACAAAAAATTCAAATATAAGAATATTTAAATGTTTTTTTAGTTTTAGTAAATGTGTTGGAAAAAATAGATTTGCAATGTGCAATGTGGAAAGAAGTGAGAAGAAAATATATTTTGAATTCTAAGACAATATAATTTTAATTCACTAAACCATATTTTAAATTAAAACTTATGAATAAATAAATACTGAAACCTTACAATAACTCCTCATACCGTCAACCCTTATTATTTCTTAATAATTATTTTGTAATATTTTTTTTTATTAGACTTTTTAAATCAGTTCTTATAATTGTTTGTGATGGACAAATTACTAATTAGTGTTGACTGCATTTAAGTTATTATTAATTATAAGTACTGGTACAACGCTAGCCGACTGGCTTTA